TTAATTCGAACTAGGCGTTAGTCCTCGTAGAATGAAGTTTACCTAGTTCGAATTAAGCGCTCCACTAGTTCGAATTAAGTTCGAACTAGCGGTTTGTATGTGTAGCGCCTATCAAAGTTAATTCGAACCATCTGTTAGTTCGAATTAACTTTGTAGTGTAGACATACCCTTTGTTAGACACCGAAACCATAGATGGGCTCCCTACAGCCTGTGCTCCTGGATACACTCGCACATGGGCACTCACATACCCCGGCCAGCGCTGGTTGGGAGGAGTGTGTGTGTGTGTGTGAGAGAGACCCAGGTCCATCACCGACTGGCCTGAGTCTTATCTCCCACCCTAGCCATTGGGCCATGTTGGTTGGTGGGCCCTGGTACAGGCATCTCCATAGCAACACTTTCAATCCATAACTGCTGGCGGCTCAGAGCCAGGGGCCGACAAGACACTGGAGTTATGGCCCATTGCATTTATGACATGCCCTGAGGCCTGCTAACCCGGCCTTCCAGGGCGGGGCTCAGGAACGGGGCCCGCACAGCCATGCTGTGCAGAGGGGGCCATCGGTGGCGCAAACGGGGCTCCTCTGACCGCGTGACATGGCTTTCAGATGTAGGGCTGCACTGCTGGTGCCAGGGCTGGGCTGGTGAGCCAGGGCGAAATTCCTCTGCAAGCCTTCCATCCCCCGAGGCCTGCCGAGGTGTTCATTGCGCGTGGTCTCCTACAACAGGCGTCCCCACTTTTGCTTACCTGTCGCTCCCTCCTTGTGTTTCGCAGAGAGACCTGGGTTATTTCCCCCAGACCTGAAAAAAAGCTCCGTGAGGCATGAAAGCCGGTCCCCTCCATGACCAGACGTTGGTCCAATAAAGGTATCACCTCACCCGCCTTGTGTCTCTCATCTCCTGTGGCCACCCTGGCTACAGCACCACTGCAGAGCTCTGGGCCTAAGTGCCCTCGGCGGCGGCCAGGGAGCTGAGACGCTAGCAGGACGGGGTCTGCTGTGCAGTGCGCGGCCTTAGCCCTTGTAAGCCTGGGGCGTTGTGTGCTTGAACTGATTGCAGGCTTCTTTCGTCACCCCAGTGCTTTATTGCTGGCTCCGGTTGCCAATTCAAACAAGCCAGGCAATCACAGCAGGGTAAATTGCCGGCAAGTGCAGAAGAAATGGCCCTGGAGCCAGCAGCTCCTCTGCTCTTCAGGGTCCAGCAAAGATCAGGAGGGGCAGGGGAAGGGCTCAGGGGTTCACAGACTGGGGGTGCTCTAGACACTAGGCTCCCAGTGGGATTCGGAGCCCAAAGCTCTCAAGAGGGCGCCCATTTGGTGAGAGGAAGGGCAGGTCTCAGCTGTCACAAAGCCGGCCCCCTTGTTTACAGCCTCCTGGCTGGAGGCAGGCTGGGCCACCAGTTTGGCCGGTTTTAATTCCCTGCTCTGCCGCTGACACCCTGCGCGCAAGTCACTTAGTCACGCTGTGCCTCAGTTTCCCATCTGGACAACAAGGAGAACAGCCTTGCCCTGCCTCCCCCGGAGGCTGTGACACACTGAAGATGGTGAGGCGCTCAGCTGCTATGGGTGCCAGCCAAGTGCGCAAGACAGCCAGACCATGGGGTCCCTCTGAGGAACACTGAGGTCTGCTTAGGCCCCATCCAACCCAAGAGGGCCAGGGTTTCCAACCTGCCCCCGCCTCTGGACCAGCAGGCCCTGGCCACTGCAGAGCAAGAGAGGGTCTGATTCTTTCCCCACCTGGCACTGGAAGTCAGGTTTTCCTGAGTTTCAGGGCTCTTGGCCATACACGTTGGCAGAGGAGAGGGGCTGTGTGGCTTCATCCTCTGTTGGAGGACCGGTCCAGCCCCCCTGGGGCTCCTTTGCAAGGGCTCCTATTAGCCAGAGGCCACGGTTGCAGGTCAGCCACTGCAAGCCCATTCCTGTTGGGTCTGAGCCCTTCTCCTGGTGGCTTCTCCAAAGATTTTGCCCCTTTACATCCAGGATTTCCCAGGGACACAAAGCCAGCTGGGGCCCCCCCCAGGACCAGGGCTCTGATCAGCTGCCTGGAGCACAGCCTCTGGATGCCAGAGAGACAGAAACACCATGAAAGGGGCAGCACCTGATTAGAAATCCCGTGTCAGACCTGGAGGTCCTCAGCTGACAGAATTCAGCCAGAGTTTGTCATTCACAATTGTCGGGCTGATGGTGGTGGTGTACAGATACCAGATGGATCTGTTTCAGCACAGCCGGTTACTCCTATCCACTTCTAGGACTTTTTTATTCAGATCTTAAAGCATTTAACAGATGGGGAAACTGAGGCACAGCAAGGGGACCCTCCCCTGAGGCCTCCCAATGTCAGAGCCCAGAATGGGCCTCAAATTCCTGGTGAGGCAGCTGTGCCTAGTGGATGGAACAGAGTGCTTCTGCTGACTGGCTACTGACTTTGCTGGATGGCCTTGGGCAAATCAAAACCTTCCTCTGTAAGCATTTCCTGGCTGCAGGGAAGGAGGGTCACTCATAAAAACAGCTGTACTGGGTCAGACCAAAGGTCCATCTAGCCCAGCGTCCTATCGTCCAACAGTGGCCAATGCCAGGTGCCCCAGAGGGAATGAAGAGACCAGAGAATCATCAAGTGATCCCTCCCCATCATTCATTCCTAGCTTCTAACAAACAGAAGCTCAGGACACCATCTCTGCCCACCCTGGCTAATAGCCATTCATGGACCTAACCTCCATGAATTTAGCTAGCTCTTTTTTGGAACCCTGTTAAAGTCCTGGTCTTCACAACCTCCTCTGGCGAGGAGTTCCACAGGTTGACTATGCGCTGCGTGAAGAACTAGTGCTCTGTGGAGCAGACCCGTCGCAGAGCTCTCCTGTCCCAGCACAGCAGTGCAATGGTTCAGTGACAACCCCCACTTCACAGCGGAAGGAAGCTGATTTGTCTCCATTGGAATTTAAATGTAGGGCGACACTCACACAGAGGCCAGCATTTTGTGTTGACAAAAGCCTGAACGTTGGACTCCAAAGCTGCCCTGACACTAGCCCATAAAAATACCCAACCTCCTGCCACAACCTGGGCCTGATTCTGATCGCCTTTCCTCCCTGGTAACTAGATTGTGCCCGAGACACCTTGTGCAGCGACTTAGATCAGCACAAAGGGGGTGCAAGGCCAGCGGAGAATGTCTGGCTGGTTCCTGACTCACCTTGGGGCTTGCGCTCCAGGGAAACAGCTGAGCAGAGAGTCCAGCCAAGAGGGAGGCGGAGGGAAAGAAGTACCTTTGTTCCACCTGCCCCAGGAATGAAGGAGGAGTCCAGCCCTGCCCCTTGGGAGGGCTGGCCTTGAGTTGCAACACATACACACCCAAGGCAGCTCGCCTGCCTGGCACAGATGAGCCCGGCGTGGGTTCAATCCACACCGCCTGCACAGCTGGACTCAGGCTCGCAGGAGAGAGGGGAACAGACCGACCGCCTGCCTGTGTTGCAGAGGACGGGGGAGACGCAGGGGCGATGCCAGGGCTCCAGGGACACCCGGGCCTGAAGGATTCCCCCTCCGGGCTGTGCAAGCCGCCACTGGCCTATTGTGCGGCACTGTCCCCGGATCTGCGCTGCAGACCCAGTATTGTGCGCCATCAGGGTGAGCAGGCCTGCGTGGAAAACTCCCTGGCTGGCAGGAGGGTGTGTTGAACATGCAGGCCGGGGGGATTGGGCAGTTGAACGGCTCGGCCCAGCCTGACTTTGGGAACAAATCCCTCCTGGATGCTCAGGGGATGAGTGGGGATGATGCTGCCTCTGTCCCGGCCGACGGCGTCTTTGGCCTGCGGATCCTCATCTCCAGCGTGTACTTGGTGGTGTGCGCCGTGGGGCTGCTAGGCAACTCCACGGTCATGTACTTGGTCCGAGCCCAGAAGGGCAGGCCGGCTTCCGCCATTAACGTCTTCATCTTTGGCCTGGCGCTGGCTGACTTCCACTTCGCCCTGACCCTGCCCTTCTGGGCGGTGGAGACGGCCCTGGATTTCACTTGGCCCTTCGGCAACGCCATGTGCAAGCTGGTCCTCACCCTGACCGTCCTCAGCGTCTACGCCAACGTCTTCCTGCTCACAACCATGAGTGTCACACGCTACTGCTCTGTGGCCTCTGCCGTCAGGCCCAGCCTCCAGCTGACTGCCGGCCTGGCCAAGAGGATTGCCCTAGCTCTTTGGGTTGCAGCCTTGGGAGCCACCATACCCACCACCATCTTTGCCACAGTGACCAATGTGGCTGGGGTGGAGCTGTGCCTCCTCAAGTTCCCCACCAACAGGTGGCTGGGGGTGTACCATGTCCAGAAGGTGCTGGTGGCCTTCGTGGTGCCCTTGGTCATCATCTTGGCCTCCTACCTGTTGCTCCTGAGCTTCCTCCAGCAGCACCGGGTCAATGCCAACAACCCTAGGAGGCAGAGCCAGATCACCGCCTCCATCTGGCTGGTAGTCACCTCCTTCTTCGTCTGCTGGTTCCCCAACCATGTGGTGACTTTCTGGGGAGCCCTGGTGAAGTTCAGGGCTATCCCTTGGGACAAGACCTTCTACTTCCTCCACACCTACATCTTCCCCCTCACCACCTGCCTGGCCCACAGCAACAGCTGCCTCAACCCCGTCGTCTACTGCCTGATGCGCAGGGAGTTCCGCAGGGCACTGAAAGATGCTTTCTCGAGCCTCTTGGCTCAGGTGTCTTCCTACCTGCCTTCCTCCATCTGCCAGGCAAGGGAGGAGGGCGCCCCCCAGGTGACTCTACCCTTGGACCAGAGGGGCAGGCCCAGCGGCGTGCAGGTGGCGAAGAAAGAATACGCCCTGCTGTCCACCACCATCACCGTTGTGCCTGAGCTGAGAGCCGAGGAAGCCAACTGAGCAGGGCGAGGGAGGGATGGTCCCAGGGCCAGTGTCAACAAGGAGATGCCGAAGTGAATTGTAGCCCTTATGACACACGGATGGCTGCTGGGCTAACAGCAGAGACGCCTGGGCTAGCAGGGCATGGGATTGCCACGAGCACCAGCTGTGCGGTGGGCTGTGGTCTTTTGCACCCAACCTAACTTGAAAGCGTTTGCTACGTGTTCCTGTTAGGAAGGACAGGACCTGACTCTGGCTCTGCAGCTCCAGCCAGGGCCGCTTCCTCTAGTCCTCACACACCTGAGATTTGGGGGAAGCCCAGGCGGACTCAGTGGCCCTTATTTCCATAGCACATCCCACAAATGGCCCGAAAGCGAACCATTGGAGTTCGGCCTCATCACTGCTGCTGGCCGTTCTCATGAGCCCAATGGCGCTTGCATTGGCATTTCGTGGCTCCGTGCTTTACGGTTCCGTTGGCTTCATTTGCCTCCAGCAGCCAGAGCAGAAGTCACAGGAGATCTGAGCACCTCATGGCCTTATCGCCGTTCAAGGACCGATAACACAGATCCAGGGACCTTCTCCGCTTCCACGCAAGTTGGCTGGTGACAAAAGTGCACCTCTTGACCGCTCTAAGGAGGGTGCAGCGGGCTTCCGCCCCTCCTGCCGGGTCTGCGGAGCAATAGCCAGGCCCCCATGCAAAAGCTTTCTATGGAGCAAGGCCGCCCACAGTCCCAGCATGATACCCTCACGGAAGAGGGCCAGGTGGGTCTCTTCTTCAGAGGCAATTGGTTCTGCTTCATAAGTCCTGCGTGTAGCCCTAGGACGGGAGAGACGTCTTCTCTGAGCAGCCCAAATCACTTCCTTCATCAGGACAATTCCCCCAGCTTAAACCACATGGTGAGCTTCTGGGGAGCCCCTTGGGGCAAGGCCTTCTACTTCCGCCGCCCCTACAGCTTCCACCTCCCTGGCCTATTGAGCTCTCCTGGCAGGATAGTGGCCTTGCCCCATTGGCCCACAAAGTGCAAGCAGGGCAGGACTGAGCCATTCCGGCGCCCTGGGCAGACAGTTTAATTGCACCCCGGGTTGGGGGACGGCGCATACGTGGCCCCCACCCCCACACCAGTGCATGGGGGAGGGCGCGCGGAGCTGGAGGCGGCAGGATGCACGTGCTGGCCTGGCCCAGCCCAGCTACCTCCGCTGGCATGCAGCCCAGGGCCACCCAGGGTGAACCAAGCCTGGCCGTGCAGGGCCCCACGGATGCGGGGGGAAAGGGGCTACTGGCCAGCGCTGTAGGGGTTAACGCAGCCCCCGCCCCAGGTGGCCACTGTAGGGTGGCAGCTGGGTGCTGCTGCAGCCTGCAATCCGGGAGTCGGGCACTCGGCATCTGATGGCAGCTATAAGGGGCGCTGTGTAGGGAGCAAGGGGCCAAAGAGAGCTTCATCTGGGCTCAGACCCCCATGGGGCCGAAGGGGCTGCTTACTTCAGGGGTCAGTCTGGCTTAGTCAACTGTGACTTCACTGGTGGATCCTCAGTACATGACACGCTCAGCACATGGGGTCGTTCCCCACTCACCTTAAACCCCAGATGTTTGGATTCTGCTAGAGCCCATCTCTGTTCTGCTGCACGCCTCTCCAGCCTTGAACACTGGGCAGCCGGGAGATGGCTCCGTTCCCAAGCTGGCTTCAGAAACAGCAGCAAACTCACAGGCTTCCGGATTTACGGGGCTGGGGGGAGGTGTCTTGGACTCCTGCAAGTGTCAAAGTCTAAATCAACGTGGCTCCAGCTGTGGCCAAAACCTGCTTTAGTCCCGGGGCTGAAGCGAATGAGGAACTGCACCATGCTTGCAAACACAACCCCTTTTAATGCAGCCAGCGGAACATGTGTCATCCAGATTGAGATTTCCCCCACCCCCGCCAAACCTCTGGAGCAGCTGGATTCCTCCATGAGGGACCATTCCACAATGCTATCCAGGACATAATGGGTTAAATCCATCCTAAAGGTCTGATCATGAGCACTGCGGAACACTGTCAGCACCTGTTGAAGTAGGACAGGAACATCAGGGCGGGGGG